CCTGTATTTTCAGTTCCTATCTGTACCAGTGTACATCCTCTGGTCTAGCCAGACTTGCAAGGTTGAATTCGAGTCATGGTAGTGGGAGCGGGGAGGAAGCATTTAGGAACTAGAGGAAAGTTGTATTTCTCACTGGAGATCCCCTTGCAGAGGGGTTTTGAGGAGGAGATGAGCCAGTTAACTTCTACAAAGATAATTTTCTCTTTAAAACTATGTGCAGAGTATAGCAGTGAGTAGTTTGTAGCAACCGTTTAATAACATTAAGTTTAAATTAATGTTTATGTAAACTTATTCAAGATCATTACTACTTTTTTCTTTTATATTTTTAGATGTTGGATGTTTACAGTCTGATTCCTTTTGACAATCCAGATGGTGGCGTTTGGAAGCAAGGATTTGACATTACCTATAATACTGATGAATGGGACACTGAGCCCCTTCAAGTCTTTGTGGTGCCTCATTCCCATAACGACCCAGGTAAAATTTGCATTTCAAAAAATTAGCGATTCCTTTAGAGATGCTGGTGGCACTGTGGGTTAGGCATTGGACTGCTAGCTGCAAAGTGGGTGGTTCAAACCCACCTGCTCTACAGAAGAAAGGTACACTCTGTTCCTGTAAAGACTGGCAGTTTCTGAAAGCCCAGAGAGGGTCTCTGTGAATAGGAGTCGACTTGATGGCAGTGGGATTGGGTCACGTCCCTTTAAACACAGCGTGTTTGAATGAGAATCCCAGAGAGGCCACATCTCACATTTTTGAACCATTGCCTGACATTTAACACTAGCATGTTCTTTATATATATTGTTGGATTTTAGTGTTTCCATTCATCAGTTTATGTGTTATTACAGGGCAGTTCTTGTGTGGTATGAAATAACCATAGGAAAGTGATTTGAGGGGCAAACACGTTGTATACAGTGGATGTACTAAGTTCAGGAAAATTATTGAGTAGTTGTATACTTTACATTATGGAAGACAGAGGGCTCATGGTAAGAGTGAATCTTTAAGATGGAGAATACAGAATAAAGTGGTGGTTGAGGGCATTGGTGTGATGTCAGGGTGGCATGGGTGTGAGTCCCAGCTCCGTTACTGTTAGTTGATGACTGATTACTTAATTCCTCCAGACTCAGGCATTGTTCACCTGGACATTTATCATCAATATTAACTACTTCAGAGGGTGACAATGATTTAAAGGGATCATACGTGGCAGAAGAGTAGTTTTGCTTTTTAAAATTATCATTGTAGTTAATATGTGATAACTTTTGGGGACATTTTCTTTCCCTGAGGGTAAGAAGAAATGGCTAAAATATTGAAAAACATATTTTGATGTACATACAAGCACAGAGTAAATGCCTCCTGAATTGTAGTTTTGGGGAAAAAAATATTTTGCTCCTCCAAAGACTTCTTTTGAAGAGATTCTTTTACTTTTATTTGTTATCTTAATTTCATCAATATTTTGAGAGACACCAATATTCACCTAGTAATTAGTTTTTATTTTTCATTTCAACATTCATTTATCTTTTAATTATGCCCTTTTTGGCTATTTCTAAGACAGCATAACTTGTACATTGTACTTAGATGCATGATGACAACTACATGTGTGCGTGCATGTGTGTGTGTGTGTGTGTGTGTATGTGTGTGTGTGTGTGTCATGGATTGAATTACATAACCCCAAAATATGTGTCAGCTGTGCTGGGCCATGATTCTCAGTTTGTTGATATTTATGCAATGATTTATGTTGCCTGTTACATGATATATAATCACCCTCGTGATGTAATGATGTGATCGGTCAGTCAGTTGTCAGGGGATTAGGGTGAGATCCAACATTTTTACTCAGATCATAGACCTAATTCAATGTGAGAAGCGTTTCCTTGGGATAGAAGGGGAGAGCAGGTAGCAGAGAAGGAAGAACTTGTGGAAGTCTCTCTTTGTGTCTGTCACAAAGAGAAGAGCTGGGAATGGAGCGCATCCTTTGAGTACTCTGCATTAAGAACCTCCTCGACCCAGAGGAAGATTGATGCCCAAACACATACATATGTTCAAGGATGTTGGGTGCTCAGATGTTGAAAGGAGACGAGGGCTGGCAGAGAGAGGAAAGCCTTCGTCTAGAGCTGGTGCCCTGCAGTTGGACTTCTAGCCTCTTACCTTGTGAACGTTTCTGTTAGTTAGAGCAGACAGTTGTATTTCTGTTAAAGCAGCACCAGATAACGGAGTATGAATGCTGCTGCTGAGGGTGATATGCGGCTTGGGAGATCGAGCATGGATACTGGCATGTTTGAATTTCCAAGAACTATATGAAATCAAATATCGTGTCGTATAAATTTGTGGTGAGCAGTTGCCACACACATGCAGATATGACCCTGATTCTCTTTTGTCATTGGTTTTAATGCCTTTATCTTTTTTATAAATATTTTTAGTCTTTTCTTCCTATGTTCAGCATTATATTCTTTTTAAGTTTCAACCTGTTCCTTCAAATCTGAATTCAGGATAGCCAGGCATCTTGGAGAGACTTCAGAGGTTTGGAGCCAGACAGAATGAGGCAGGCAGGCAGGCAGGCACCTCAGCTCTGCTGTGCACTTCCATGTTACCTTGGGCACTTTTGTTATTTATTAGTAAAACGTAGATCGTCCGAGTGGAGTAAATAGCATGTTCAGTGAAGGCTAGTTGAAAGACAAGTACTGTATAAAAGATTCGGAAAAGCATATCTAGTCAAAATTCCTTTTATTTGTGTGTGCACCAGATTGAATCGGTGTCTGTTGCTGTAGAGTCAAGTACGGAATCGTGGTAATGCTGGGTGTACAGAGCAGCACTGCTTCTCACAGGTCAAATTTGTGACCTTTCGGAAGCAGATTGCCTCTCACTTGGGTACATACTGCCAACCTCTTGGCTCATAGTTCAGTACTTAAATTGTTCAAGCCAGTTGGATGAAATTGTATAAGTGCATTTAGGGGAGGGGTGCTAAAAACATCTATCTTTAATTGCTAGGCTCACATTCAATGAGATGAAGTGCTCACATATGTGTGGCCTGGGACTGCCTATGGGACTACAGATTTTTTTTTACTCTCATTCTGAAATATTTACTTATTGAATGAAAAAGCAGCAGAACCACTTGGACTATTAGAAATAGTCTTTTTTTTGGCTTTCTGCCAGTCATGGTGCCTTACATGTGTTCTTGTTATTTAATTGGATATGTGCTATAATCCTATTGTGTAACCTTCATAGTAAGCTTATAAATATACTTCATGATACATTTTCTTGAGTCACCATTGTATGAAGCCCACCTCTTTTCCCTTTTTGATGTTTAAACAACAACAAAACCCCCACGGAAATTAGACTTATTAGCCATTCCTCCTTTGTTTCCATTTGTAATTCCCACCAATCTCATTTCTTGATATTCTAAATTGTGGACACCTGTATTAGTCTGGGTTCTTTAGAGAAACAAATCCACAGAAACTCCTGTATACGAGAGAGTTTTATATATAGGTTACGTGTGCATCAAGAAAACATCCCAACCCAGTGCTGCCCAAACCCACAAGTCCAACATTAATCCACTAACCCATATGTCCAACACCAGTCCACAAAGTCCTCCACCTCACAAAGCAGACGCAATGATGCCGACTGCAGGAGGAAAGCCGAGTCAGTGAACATGTAAGCATCTCAGCACTGGCAGGGGTCTCCACATGAGTGCTCCAGCACCCAGGGTTGCATCGGGGTAGGTCCGTGTGGCTTCTCCTTGGGGATGTCTTGCGGTTAGCCTTGCCAGCTCAAGCAGGGTGCGACCATCACAAAGCAAGAGATCTGAGAACTAGAAAGGCAAGGCCCACCAAGCCATTTATCCCTCCGCCCTTCAATTAATTCCACATGTGTTTATCGGCCAGGTTGGCACAATAAACTAAGTGACTCAACACCCAACTGTAATAATAAAATCTGGTTTACCTAGCAGATGCTTTGTAAACATGTTATTTCTTGCTCACCATAACCTTTGGAAGTTATTGCTCCTGTTTACTACAAAGACATTCCCAATGTGACAAGTTTTCACAGGTGAATATAACCAGAATATTTCTTGGTTGGATTACATGAATCTCCCAGTAGAAAAAAATGTGTGAGAACATGTGTCTCCTGCTCCACCCCCCACCCCTCACCCCTGCCCCATGCCTAGCCTAACACTTGGCATATAGTAATTGCTAAATAGACTTCAAAAATTTCATGGATGAATGGAATGAAGAGATAATGAGATTCTTCCACAAACTTTCTGAAACTGCCTCATATATGGGGCTAGTGAAAAATATTGAAAATAAGGTGGACTGCCCAAAGAACAAATAAATCTGTTTTGGAAGAAGTAGTCGGAGTGCTTGTCAGAAGCCAGGTTGGTGAGTGAGACTTGGTTTCATGTACCTTGGGAATGTTATCAGAAAACACCAGTCCTTGGAAAGGACTTCTTGCTTGCTAAAGTAAAAGGGCAGCGAACAGAGGAAAGGCCTTCAAGGCGATGCATTGACACAGTGGCAACAGCATTGGGCTCAAACATGACAATTTAAGAATGGGCAGTGTTTGTTTCTATTGTGCATAGAGTTGGAAATAATTTTATGTCAACAACAGCAACGTGTATGTGAGGCCTTTCATGTCTCTACCCCTCCCCAGCTTTCTCTCTGCACATAACAATATTCACATTCACCTACGTAGGGGGTACAAAACAAAACAAAACAAAATGGAAAAAAGCTCTGCTGGGCAGACCATTTGTGGTACACATTTTCCCCAGTAGGTGAGCATCTAGTCACTTGCCCTGAGTTAGTGCACCCAGGGGCGTTGCATGGGAAGGTTCTCTCTGGGCACAGTGAATGTTTTCATGAAAGCTGTTTCGCTGTGAAATTTTGTTTCCTGCTTGGGAAAAATACCACACAAACTGTTGTGATGTTGAACACAGTTTATAAGGACAGTATTATGGGTAAAACTTAGTGTATGAGTGGTTTTCTTGTTTCAGAAAAGGTAAAAATGTCAATTGATGACAAACCTCATTTTATACATATGTCAACTTCCCAAATGTATAGAAATGTCGACTCTTAATGCATTTGGTGTTTTTTTCCCACAAGGTCAGACTGTTAATCAAGCTTTCTATTTAGAGGTTTTGTAAAGATTTTGTAACAGTTTGTGACAAAAAAGTCCTGATTTGTGGCAGACAGGGTACTGATTTTGCTACCATGACAATGCACCTGCTCACGCAGCCATCTCAGTGTGTCACTTTTTGGAGAAAACGACAGCATGCCCCTCTTGCCCCATGCTCCTTACTCACCTGATCTCATTCCGTGCAACCTCATTTTGTTTCTGCCAATGAAGAGGGACACGAAAGGACAGCGATTTGATTACAGAAGAAGTGAAGAAAAAAATGAGGGAGGTGCTGTCAGCCATCCAAACAAGATAAGTTTGAAAAATGTTTCTAAGAATGAAATCACAGATTTGACAAATGTATTAAGTATAATAGAGAG